TCTGCGTATATACATATACAGTCTGGTTATTTGTCTCTTTGCAATAATATCAAAGTAGAATTTGTCCTGGTTAGTTCCCCCCTCCCCCAGCTTGACCCAAGCTGAAATCTGGGAAGAGGACCCTCACAATTGAGAAAATGCCTCCATCAGATTAGCCTATAGCAAAGTCTTTAGGGCATTTTCTTCATTGACGTGGGAGGGGCCCAGCCCATTGAGGGTGGTCCTAGGCAGGTGGTCCTGAATGGAGTAAGTAGGTGGGTTGAGCAAGTCTTGGGGAGAAGCTCGTAAGCAGTGTTTCTCCGTGGTCTCCGCTTCAGTTCCTGCTCAAGTTTTTGCCTGGAGTTCCTGCCGTGACTTCCCTTCTTGATGCACTGTACACCATAAGGTGAAATAAACCCGTTTCTCCTTAAGTTACTTTTGGTTATGGTGTTTTATCACAGCAATTTTAGCCTAAGACAGAACTTGTTTTCTTTTGGACGTATTTTGCTTTTGAACTTGTGTACCTAGGGAATATAAACTGTATTTGCTTTGTATAACTATATGAGATATCTGAAGTAGGCTAGCTTTATAAAGAAAAGAGATTTATTTAACTTATAATTTTGGAAGTTCAAGGGCATAGTCCTGCCATTGGCCCAGGAGCTCATGTGAGTAATCTGGTATTACAATGATGGGAACACATGTGGGAGGAAAAAAAGATGTCTTGAAACAGTAAGCCAGAGAGCTTAGTGGACCCAAGCTTGCTATGGCTGCAACTCTTCAGAAAACTGCCAAAGGGTCCCTTGAGAACTGCCTTAATCCCTTTGTCCTCAGTGACCTTAAGACCTTCCAAATGGCTGACTAACCTCTTAAAGGTTCCTTGCTGCCTCCTTATTCCATCACCTGTTGATTCTGTGACTCTGTGATCAAAGGACAAACCACATTCAAATCACGAACCCACAGCAGTCTAAACTGGTGGCTCTCCACGCTGCTTATTTGAATCACTTTAGTATGGTGACTCTGGTGTCTGTGTTCCTTTCCAGACTAATTAAATATGACTCTCTGAAGGGTGGGACTCAATCGTCTTATTTCCATTTTTCTGAGCTTCCTGTGTGGTTCCAGTGTATGGCAAGCTTGTTGAGAATCATTGGTCTAATTAAAATTATTTCTATACGCCAATAAAAATTGTGTTTATTCCACACTAAGTGGCTGTTTTCTGTATCCAGCACTACTCACTTTATATTTCCACTTGGAAAAACATAATTAAAATGTAAATTTAGCAAAGTGAAATTATATGTATTGAGAAGTGAAGATCTGGTGAACCCATTAAGGCAGATATTTACATATTCAGAATTAATGCTCATGATTTGTCAGTTGATGAATTGTAAATATCCCACTGAGCTAGTTAACTGAAAACCAGTCATTGTTCAGCCAGAGTCATTAGCAGTGGGCTGAATCCTGGCCATGACTTACTTAGATAAATGCTCAGAGATGTTACACCGGAGGATATTCATGAGCCACGTGCAGTGCCTCCTCTCAGTGCAAATGTCTGTTTGATCTGGAGTGGCAGAGTGATGGAGGAGTACTGTTGCGAGGGATGGAGTTTGAAGTCAGAATCTAGTAGTTCTCAGAGTTTGGCCAACATAGGAAGCAACCATGGCCTTTGCATATCAGTGGGATAAATTACCAGGAAAGAAACAAATCTCAAACCCTGTTTGAGCCTTCATCTGGAGCTCTTGATCACGTTGTTAGTCAAGCACATGGCAAACTGTGACCTTTGACCAAATCCATTTTCTCTTTAAATATGAGAGAGAGTAGGTGCGGGGAGAGGGAGAGGATCTCTGTGTGTGTCTGTCGTATGTGTGTATCTCTTTGTTGTGTGTGTGTGTGTATTATGTCTGTAGAGATCAGGAGAATTTTGGGTCTCAATTGATTCTCAAGCGCTACCTTCTTTCTTTTCTTCCCTCCCCCTTCCTTTCTTTCAGCACAGCTCGCAAAGGCCTGCAGCTCACTGAGTAGGCTAGACTGGATGGCCAGAGAGCCTTCCGCCTTCCAGTGCTGGGATTACAATCTATGTTCATCATGCCCTGCTTTTTTTTTTTTTAATGATTTATTTATCTTTATTTCATGTGCATTGGTGTTTTGCCTGCATGTGTGTCTGTGTGAAGGTATCAGAACCCCTGGAACTGGAGTTACAGTTGTGAGCTGCCATGTGGTTGCTGGAAATTGAACCTAGGTCCTCTGGAAGAGCAGCCAGTGCTCTTTACCTCTGAGCCATTTCTCCAGCCTCCATGTGTTGTAGAATATTATTTTAAGGTGTGTTACTTTTGTTTATACTCCAAAACATTTGTTTAATGATGTAAAGGTGTGTTTGATTAAATAAAATTCACCTGCGGTCCGGAGGTTGCACCAGCCGGGAGGAGAAGGGTTTATAAGGAGAGGCGAGAAAAGGCACGAGGAGGACTTCTTGGGAGATGAGCCAGGTGAGCTGCTTGCTCTTCAGCCTCTCTGGGAAGCAAGATTCTACCTCAGCCTTTGAATCTCGAGTTCTTTAGCAGGACAGAGATTTAGGTAAATTCTCTTAGTTTCTTTGAAAGAGTCAGTGCCTGAGGGAACAGAATTTCTTCCTCAGGCTGCTGCTCTTTGGGCTGCTGCTCTTTCTGCCTACACCTGAGTTGCAGTTGCTGCCTAGTACAGCCTAGCTTAAAAGGCAGCAACCATTAAAAAAAGAGGACAACATTTTTTAATGTGGATTTTTGGGGATTGAACCCAGGCCCGCATGCTTGTAATGAGTTCATGCCCCAGACACCGCACCATTCTTTTTTCAAAGCTTTATTAGACTGCAGCCATGGTCCTTCATTTACTTCTTGCCTAGGGCTTCTTTTTAGTTAAGGCAGACTGGAGTATGTATGACATTGTTGTGTAGTGCGGAAAGCCTGAAGTAACTGCTATGGAACCTTTATAGAAAGTGGCCCAACTTCTCTGTTAAGTGTCGTAGCACACATTTCCTGTTGTTGCTAATGCTTAAGTTGGTCCTATTAAACTGAATTTGTTTTTTTCTCATACAAATGACTGAAGATGGCCAAGTTTTGACTCTTTGAAGTGGAAGCTGCAGTTGAGGAAAGGGGTTTGTTTTGTGTACTAGTTACTTTTTCATTGCTGTGATGAAACACCTTGAGCAAGGCAATTTATAAAGAAAGCATGTGATTGCACTGTGGTTCAGAGGGTTAGGGTGATGGTGGAGCAAAGCCATGGCGAAGGAACAGCTGAGAGCCCACGTCACAGATTGTAAGTAGGCACAGGCACATTGGGAATGGAACAGTATTTGAAACTTGAGAGCCTTCCCCCAGTGACATGCCTCCTCCAACAATGTCAGGCCTAATCCTTCTCAAACCATACCGAGTGGGGACCAGCTATTCAAGAGTACGGAACTTCCAGGGGCCAGTCTATTCAAACCACCACCCTTTGGCAACAGGGGAGGGTGCTGCTAGCCATCCATTATGTTCTTTCATCGCAGCTCTTGTTGGTAAGTCTCCCTTTGGGCTGGTCATGTGATCACAAGCGGCTAAAGAGCTTTGCTCATGAAGGTTTCCCTGTAGACAGAGGAGATGGACTTCATACACCTTGCTAGTAACAGATCTGGGGTGGAAGTTTGAAGATGAGAGACCTTCATCCTTTAATGCTGGTTAAGACAGACTGCTGAAGATCGTGAGGGTTCAGTAAAGACTGTTTATTGGCTCAGTTTCCCTGGTCTCTGTGCAGTGGAGAGACTACTTCTGAGGCACCAGGCACCTCTTCTACCTGGGGGTCTGAATGCTAGTGAAGAGCCTCAAGTATCTGCTGAGTTCTTACGTGTGAAAAGGCTTGCTTAAAAATAAAGATTTAAGAGCAGTTCTAGCTTCCTAAGTCTTAACTTCCCTTTTGAGTATGTTACTCTGACTCCAGCCCCTTGATTTTCATTTATTTTTATAGACAGACTGTACATAAAGGCAAGGAAGTGCCTATAAATATAGTGATATTCTGGTATTTGCCATCAACCTGATCATTAGAGTCTTACTATGTAGCTCATGCTACCCTTGAACCCATAATCTTGCCTCGGCCTCTTGGGTGTGGTGGTATTAGTTCACGGCACTTCACCAAGGCTGAGAAGTAGCAGTTTAGAGACTATGCCAGATGGATTCTCATTTTGGAAGAGCGCTGTGATGTTTCTGTAAATTTTTATTAATAAAGTAAGTCACTTTTGTGACCACAGAAGATTGTTTTCTATAAATTATTTAAGGTGGTTTCAGACCAAAATCACTTACATGAAATGATATTAGTCTGTAATTTATTCCCAAATCTGTACTTGAAAGACTTTTCCTGGGTGTAGCTGTATCCAGCCTTGCAAAATCAGCCTGTGATCAGTGTAGGCCCTCTCTGCTGGTTGGCTTGCCTTTCCATGAGGTGCTGTTTGGCACAAAGCCAGTGTGTCTAGATTGTGATGGCTCCAAGCACTACTAGTATGTCAATATCCAGGCATTTCTGTTTTCCTAGTGTGAGGAGGCAGTGAAGGTTGTGGAGTTAGTTAAAAAAGGTTGAATTGCTTCTTAGAATAAGCAGATTAATTAAAAGGAAACCATCTGGGTGGTGGTGGTGGTGGATGTCTTTAATACTAGTACTCAGGAGGCAGAGACAGGCATCCCCTCTGTGAGTTTGAAGTCAGCCTGGTCTACAGAGTGAGTTTCAGGACAGCCAGGGCTACACAGAGAAATCCTGTCTCAAACAACAAAAAAAAAACAAAATAATAATGACCTAAAATAAAATGGAAACCTTTGACACTTTGGACTGAGGTGGGAGGAGGGTGAGTGCTGGGATAACCTCAACTATAGTGACTTTTAAGCCAGCCTATATTACACAGTTGAAGATTGTTTCAAAAAAAAAAATTGCTGATGAACTCTGGGGTACAGTTTGGTTGGCTGGTGGAGTGCGGTTTTCTGTGTCTGCACCCTTTCCTCACTGACCCATGCTCTTCCTCTGTGTGACAGGTCAGTGACTATCATCTGTTCCACACGATGAGTAACAGCCACCCTCTTCGCCCCTTTACTGCAGTGGGGGAAATCGACCACGTGCACATTCTGTCTGAGCACATTGGTGCCTTGTTGATTGGTGAAGAATATGGCGATGTCACATTTGTTGTGGAAAAGAAGCGGTTTCCTGCCCACAGGGTAATTTTAGCAGCTAGGTGCCAGTATTTTCGGTAAGTATGTAATGTGGTTTTTCTTTTCTTTTCCTTTTTTAGATTTAAGTCATCCATGGGAAACACTAGTGTTTTCTATGAAAAATATGAACCAGGTAGTAGTTGCGCACACCTTTAATCTGAGTACTCAGGGAGGCAGAGGCAGGTGGATTTCTTGAGTCGCGGCCAGCATGGTCTACAGAGTGAGTTCCAGGTCAGCTGGGGTTACACAGAGAAACCTGTTTTGAAAACAAAGAAGAAAATAAAAACATGTAACTTATGTATAACAAGTGGAATCCTTTAGTACATGTCTGAAAGAACTTTATCTTTGTGGATTTGTTACTTTCTGAGAATTACCTTTTCTTTAGGAGCCAGCTTAGAAGTAAGGGGTTAGAAGGCTAAGTGGGCCAGACAGTACCAGTTAACTTTTTGAAGATCTGAATGTACTTTTTAAAGACCCTGTCTTAATAATGGAACTTCTATTTCTGAGTACTGTATATTTTACTCTCCTTAAAAAGCAATTGGGCAAAAACAAAGCAAAACAAAAAACCCAAAAAACAAAATAAAAAACCCCACCTGTATGTGAATGTCATATGATCAGTATATTTTTTAAAAAAAGAAATCCAAACATTTTCAGAAACTTGAAGATGGTATTGAGCTAATGGAATACATTCCCCTTACTCATTGACATTTGTGCTTCAAAATATTGAACCTTCGTAGTATTTGTCACTCACTTGGGCTTAAACCATGCTACCACCGAAACTCTCAGATTCTCATTGATAACACTATTGTGCAAAGCAAAATTAACTGGCAGTAGTTGGGGGGAGTCCTGACTAAGTCTTGTCACCAGATCTTACCTGTTCCCTGGCAAGGGCATACTAGCTATACAAGAGGGAACTTTTCACAGTAAGCTTTGAATCCCCTTCACTCATTACTGGGCAAGAACCAAGGTAGATGTCTCCTAGCTAGCACATATTAATCTCTATTGATCTTCCTAGTGGTGACATAGAATGTTTGTGCCACAGTGTTTCAGCCTTGATCATCTTGACATTTTGATTTTTTCCCAGTGTTTAGTTTAAGTATTCATTCCTATATATCATTAATGAATTATCTTTTTCTCTAGTTGGGTCTTAAAGAACAATTGCTGAGTCTTAGTGTATGTACACTGCAGATTTGAATAGCTGTATTACTAAATTATTTTGCAAAAAGAAGGGGTCCATTTACATAGCCCCTTAAAACACTGCACGACAGAAGCTGTTTTCTCGCTGTGCAGCAGTCAGAGGCTCCCCTTAGTGTTTGTCTCATCATTTTCCTGTAGAGTTTTACTTTCTAAACTTTAACATCTTTATATTGAGTCATTGTTCCTCTAAAATGATGACTTCCAACTTTCCATGTAATTTTGCGTTCTCAAGGTACCTCATTTAGCTCAGTTGTTTATGATATTAATTCTAAATGGTTTTTAAATTCTGTAAAAGAAACTATTTACAATCACTTGTATTCTCCACCTGAATCTTTATATCATTAAGCAAATTTATTATACGTGTATAGTATTGATAGCCATTTTTACATGTATTTTGTAGCAAATGGTATTTGAGGTTCTCCAACTCTGTTTCTTCTCTGGTGTGCAGAGCATTACTGTATGGTGGGATGCGAGAGTCTCAGCCTGAAGCCGAAATCCCTCTCCAGGACACCACTGCAGAAGCATTCACAATGCTGCTCAAATACATCTACACTGGGCGGGCGACACTGACAGATGAGAAGGAGGAGGTGCTGCTGGATTTTTTGAGCCTGGCTCATAAATATGGATTTCCAGAGCTAGAGGATTCTACCTCTGAGTATCTCTGCACCATCCTTAACATCCAGAACGTCTGTATGACTTTTGATGTTGCCAGTCTCTACTCACTGCCCAAGTTAACTTGTATGTGCTGCATGTTCATGGACAGAAATGCTCAGGAGGTGCTCGCCAGTGAAGGCTTCCTCTCCCTTTCCAAGGTGCGTTCTGCTCTCTGCCTTTGATTTCTCTGCGTGTCCTTACACAGTGACCACACCACAGTGGTCTTAGAATCAAAGATAAAGGTCCTTGGTCTCAAAGAAGTAATCTGGTCTAGCACTTGCTCCTGGCTTCTGGAACTCTAGTTCTTAAAGGCTATTGGTTCCATTTTGCTTTCCCTTTCCAAGGTTTCTCTGGTAAGTTTTATGTGCAGAAGAGACTGGTCTTGATTTTTAATATGACGTAAGATTCTTTTTTTGTATTGCACATCGTTTTTTGGTTGTGTATTTCTCTGATATAGAATATAACTAGGAATTCTCTTTTTTCAAAAGGAAAGAGTCTTTGGGGCTGGGATATAGTCTGTGGCTCAGAGGGGAGGTTGATTAAAGAGCCCTGAAGTGCCAGTGGGTGTCTCAAGTCACTGCTGGGGTCCCTCCTCTTCCCAGTTTACAGTTTACCACTCTAAAATTGTCACTTATATCTGCCATCGAACCCGGAGCCGTGGTTCTCTGTCCCTCTCAGTATTTGTCTGTGTGTGTTTAAAGAGCTGTGCATCTTGATTTGAATGAACTCTGATTTTTTTAAAAATATTTCTTTATTTATTATGTATACAGTATCTTCGTGTACACCTGCAGGGCAGAAGAGGGCACCAGATCTCATTATATGGATGGTTGTGAGCCACCATGTGGTTGCTGGGAATTGAACTCAGGACCTCTGGAAGAACAGCCAGTGATCTTAACCGCTGAGCCATCTCTCCAGCCCTCTGATTTTTTTTTTTTAATTATCCCATTTAACTTCTGTAAGCAAGGAATTTTCATGGGTGCATCAGTCAGTTTATGGAGTTCAGTCCAGAGAGCCAAGGACCAAAACCATGGTAGTGTAGCAGTACTGTAAAACAGAAGGTTTTGAATTTTTAACTCTAGGCTTATCTTACTGACTTAAAAATACACACCTTCTCAAAGAATACACACATGCATGCACGTGCACACACATACGTACACACATTCAGTTTGCCATCTTTGTTCTTGCTGTTTTATAAGAGGATGGCTATGGGGCTGGAGAGATGGCTCAGCGGTTAAGAGCATTGCCTGCTCTTCTAAAGGTCCTGAGTTCAATTCCCAGCAAGCACATGGTGGCTCACAACCATCTGTAATGAAGTTTGGTACCGTCTTCTGGCCTGCAGGCATATACACAGACAGAATATTGTATATATAATAAGTAAATAAATATTTAAAAAAAAGGATGGCTACAAACTATACCACTCCTGCATATAAACCCATAGGACTTGAAGTCAGCATATTAGAGATACTTGCACATACAGGTTTATTACTGCACTGTTTGCAGTAGCTACAATGGTCCATCAACAGCCAGATAAGTGATGTGGTACAGAAACACAGTGGGACTTTGTTCAGCTGCAAAGGAAAGTGAACAATGACAGTTGCAGCACAATGGGAGGACTGAAAACCATTACATTAGTTGAAAGAAGCCAGACTCAGAAAGACAGATTTACCGGTTGCTCTCATAATGGCCTCTACATTGTATGCATATGTGTATAAATGTGCACATGTTAGGGACCAGGTTTCTAAGTTTGGTTTCTATTGCTTTAATAAAATACCACGACCAAAAGCAACTTGGGGAGGAAAGGGTATATTTCAGCTGCAACTCTAAGGTCACACTCCATCACTGTGGGAAGTCAGGGCAGGGACCTGGAGAAGGAACTGAAGCAGAGGCCCTGGAGGAATGCTGCCTACTGGCTTGCTCCCCAGGGCTTGCTCAGCCTGCTGTCTTGTACAACCCAGAATCTATCTGTATAGGGAGTGGCACTGATTTCAGTATGCTGTGTCCTTCCTCATCAATCATTAATCAAGAAAATGCTCCACAGACTTGTCCACAGGCCAGTCTTATGGGGGAGCATTTTCTCTATTGGGAGTCCCTCTTCTCAGATGACTCTGGCTTGTGAAACTAGAAAGGGGACTATGAAAAGGGAAGATGATCTTCAGACAGAATGTAGGAGAAAAGGCGTGTGTATGTGCTGGGTAATGGAATACACATGACATGGAAGCAGAAGCAGGGCTGTGGGAGGTGAACAGGGTACCAGCAAGATGGGCAGTGGAATGGGGAGTACGGCAAAGGACTGTTACAAATATGAGCAACACAGTGTATGAAAAATTTATTTACTCTGTACCATAACTTTAAAAATTGAGTAAATCTCTTTAAAACAACAAAAGATGGGTATAGATGTGTGGGGAAAGTCTTTCTTTTATTTTTATTTTTATTTTTATTTTTATTTTTTTTTAAAGTAACCCATGTTGTCCTTGAACCACCATGTAGCCCAGGCTGACCTTAGACCCACAGCCTTCCAAATGCTGGTATTACAAGCATGAGCTTCTGCACCCGAAGTATTACTGCTGCTTGTTCACATAGGCAGAGGGGAGAAGGGGACAGATAGGAAGGACAGATAGTCCTCAAGGAAAGGACTACTACCCACTGTCTGGCCAAGTTCTGCAGGCTGGTTATGCCCGTGGCTGTGCTCCATGCTGACTTCTGTGCTCCCTGTTTATCCTTTGCAGACGGCGCTTCTGAACATCGTTTTAAGAGATTCGTTTGCTGCTCCTGAGAAAGATATTTTCTTAGCCTTGTTAAACTGGTGTAAGCACAATGCAAAGGAGAACCATGCTGAAATCATGCAGGCTGTGCGTTTACCTCTGATGAGCCTCACTGAGCTTCTGAATGTTGTGAGACCTTCAGGGTTGTTGTCTCCAGATGCTATTCTCGATGCCATTAAAGTGCGTTCAGAGAGCCGGGATATGGACCTCAACTACAGAGGCATGCTCAGTAAGTATCTGTTTTTCCTTCTCACCTACTCCTAACAGCAGAACTCCAGCTAGAGAGCCCTGGTGCAGGTATGCATAGCATAGGCCGAGGCCAAATGGACCTAGCTCTGCTTCCTGTGGGTGTCTCTTGCTGTCGTTCTCCTAACAGGATGAGCTAGCACAGCTATTTGTTGTCATTCCTGGACATTTTCCATCGGCTCCTCGGGATGTCAGTAGACACTTTCTTGAAAAGTTGCTTGTCAAATTAAGACTTTTCGTCCTCCCTCCTTCCTGCAGGTAAGATGAGTGCCTAATTCTTCAGGTACCACCTGTGGAGATTCTAAGTAGTGGTGACAGCTGCTGCTGATAGTAACAGTATTCTGATTTGCAAGTGAAATAACAGCAGTTAAGGATTACTGAATGCTCTCTGTGTGTCAGGGCCTGGCTCTACTTCCACTCCATTCTCAAGTCCGTGGAGGAGACACACTGTCTATTTCTCATTGGTTGTTTCACAAGTGAAGAAAATGAGACAAAGAGAATTGGGTGCCTTGCCCAAAGTCACACAGAAGATGATAAGCTGAGAACTTGATGTCACTAGCCTCTGTAGGCTGTGCCTATTAAACTATGAAGCTAAGGAGCAGAAGTGCAAAAAGCAGCCTCTGCCTTTGACCTTTCCACTTTCATTGTGGAAGAGAGAAGGCCTGTGACCAACTTAAAAAAAAAAAAACAAAACAGTGTTGAAGTAGGTAACACGGTGTAACTTCAGGAAAAGGTGGCCTAGAATGGTTGAGGGGAAGGCAGGAAACTCCTTGGTTGGAGTGGCATTATCATTGACTGAGCGCCAGTTTGGAAGATGGGTGAGATTATTAGAGTTGTGCATCGAGAGGCCAGGACGAAAGCGCTTGATAGAACAGGAGGGTGTGCTGCTGCCGTGTGAGCCCATGGCTGCGTGCCAGTTCAGACAGGTCATGGAGATCTTTGAAAGCTGGCTCAAATCTCCTTTCTCTACAATGAGAAGCTTACTTGAGAGTGGCCTGCACACTGCAGTGGGGCTCTCCTGGATGGTTTGGAAGAGTTTAAACTGGATTCCAGAAAACCAGTGAGGAAGGAATTTAATCTGCTTGACTGACACAGCGTGTGATGGCAGAGAAGTGGAAAGGAACAGGAGTATAGGCAGGGTTTCAGGAAGTTAGAGTTTGGTGATAGGAGGATTTCACTGTGGTTTTCTAAATCTAAGTAACAGCAGTCCCGAGGCCTCATTGTCTTAGAACAGTAAATGGTGCCCGCTAAAGCTCAGGGCATTTCATGTCCTCAGGCAGGCAGTGCTTCTGCTGGGAGATGCTGAGCATGGCTTTGGTTATTCAGCTTGAGGGCTTCTGGATATTTGCCATTTCTGGTCAGACTGGCCATTTCCTGGAATGATACCTTTCTTGACTGGTTTGAGACATTCTTGAAATGCTGGTGGGCCCTAAATAGAAGTCCTTAGCCTACTTTTACTCCGAGTTGTCAGATCTCGATTTCAACGGAAAAGAACAGTAGTTCTTTGGCCTCACATATTTTGTGGGTGCACATACATGCATATGTGTGCACAGAATGTGGAGGCCGGAGGTGAGCCTCAGGCATTACCTTGTGGGAGTCATCCAGCTTGATTCTGAGACCTGCTCTTTGCCTGAGGCCTGGGGCCAGCTGAGTAGGCTGGCTGGCTGGGCGGCAGATCACCGATCTGTTCTGGGGTTTACAGTTGTGTGCCGTTAGACTCAGCTTTTTATGGCGGCACTAGGAAATGATTTAGGTTCTCACTGCTGGTTTGGTAAACACTCTGTAGACTGAGCTGTCTCCTGAGTCCCTCAGCTAGACAAATTTGATTTTAAGTCCTGAATTAGTCATTAGCTGTATGATCTGGCAATAAATTGAGTTTTAGTTTTCTATCTCAGTATTGTTAGGAGGATTAACTGGAATAATTTGTGTAAATACGGCATGTGGTTTCTTTTTCCCTCATCTCTGTATGTCATTGTGATTTGTTACATTCACCACATTCTTGTAAACAGTTTCCTTTACTTACCTTTGAGTTTTAAAGACAGTGTTTTTTGTGGGTCTTATTTATTGATCTTTTATCCTGACCATTTAACACACTGACCAGTGTGTAACAGGTGAATGCTTGCTGGATCAAAGCATGCTATGGAATTCGGGGAGCAGTCAAAGCTAGAGACCAAAAGAGTTGAAATCTGGTAAGAATAAGGAGTAAAAGAATCAAGCTCCAAGACTTGGAGACTTATAGGCTGGAGGCTTCAGGTGGAGAAGGAATTCGAAAGGCAGGGAGGCAGCAGAGATACAGGAAGTCCACAGAAGCCAGTCAGAGGGGAGAGCTGCTGTATGGAGAGGCAGTTATGCTGTCTCACGTGCCAGATAGTCAAGGCGAATGGCAGTCCAGAGGACTCTGGATGTAAATCGTGTGAGTTCATGAATGGTCTAAAGGGAATCAGGCATTCTGTTTGAAGGGATAACACGCACAGTGTGTTAGTGATTGGTTTTGTGGTTTGAGGTAAAAGGCAGTAGAGAAACAGAATGGTGTAGCTGTAGAGAACAAACTGCAGAGGTCTAGGAAGCAATTAGAGGGGCCAGTTGAAGGTCAGCCTTGGCTGTGTAAGAGGATGAAAGATGACATAACGATGTTGAATTTTACACTCCCCAAACCCTCATTTTGTATCCTCTTATGTAAGTGCCTCTCCTTTCCTGTGATTGGCTGATATGCCCTAGAACTGGGTTTGGTGAAGATTGGTTGGATCATGGATGTAGGTGTTAGGTATATTTGGCACTTCATACAGTTACTGGTTTCTTGGTCAGCCCATGTTGTAAGCACTGGATTCTAGTTCTCTGGGAGATTCCTTGGGGAGGAAATACTAAGGCACTCAGTTCTGGAATGATGTATTTTCTGTGACTATTGCTCATCAGGGTAAAATTTTCATTTTGGAGACATTCAGGCAGAGCTCAAGGAATAGATTATAAAAGTGTTTGGCAATCATAAAATCATTGAGTAATGGTTAAATAGCAGGATATTTTCTGACTTTTATAGTATTTAGATAGTAAAACCAATAATAAAAATACTGTGGAAACACAATACATTCCTAGCAGATTCGTAAAGAGATTATTTTCTAAGAACTATCCAAACATTCGGATAATTATTTTAACACATTTTTTTTTTCGTTGGGAAACAAGGCCGAACAGCTCAGAACCATTCTTTGGCTGATGGTTTGGAAGCTCGCTCTGTTGGTATTGGAGAAGCTAGCTCCACTGGTATTGGATAAGCTAGCTCTGTTGGTATTGGAGAAGCTCGCTCTGTGGTATTGGAGAAGCTCGCTCTGCTGGTTTTGGAGCTGCTGGGGGATTGTGTGACTGTTGATATTGTTACCTGGCATGTGTTCGTGTTTAGAGTCTAATCAGAAATGCAGAGGGCCTCTGTTGGCCCTGGTGCTGCTCTTACAAGTTCATAGACCTGGGTTTCTAGAAGAGTCTCTCCTCAATGCCTACTTAGATACTTTACTAAATTGCACACGCCACCCCATTTTAAAGGGGGCGATCCAGAAGATGTTTTTACTCAGTGATGAGGGCTGGTCTCTTTAGAAGGTAGTTTACATAGTTTTATGCATATATAATCATTCATCTATGCAGCTAGGGAAAGGAAATGTCCTTTTTAATGAAATCTTAGGATATTTGAACAGCCTCCTTCCCATTCTCTTAACATTTAGTTTTATCTTAATTCTATAGATGCTGTTTTGAAAGTCAGTGCTTTATCTAATGAGGCTGAGTTATACTCTGTTTTGTTTATCGCATGTTTTAGACTATGGGAAAGAGAACAGTAACTTCTTATTTCTGCATGCTTATAGCATAGAGCTGTATCACAGATTCTAGCCTCAGGATATCTTTATTGAGTAAAAGTCAATATGTTCCTAAGACTGCTGAGGTACATTGTTGGGGTGTGTTTGCACGCCTGTGTGAGTTACTGCTCTATGGATCTTTGCAGCTGTGATAGAATTGTTGGTTTTTATTTGTCTAGATGCACTCATTAGATTGAGGTCTTTAATGATACAGTTGTGTCCTTTTTTGTCTGTGATCTTCTAGCACCTGCCACAGTGTCTGAATCAAGATTTTTAAATACATAAGACTGAATGAGTCCTTTGTTTCTAAACTAGAATTTAAGTCTTTCTCCCCCATCGATATAAAGACAATTGTAACACGAACTTTCAACTCTTGGCTCTTTTACTGCTGTGTCATCCGTGGGGTGCATTCATCTGTGGACATGTTCAGTGTCCATGCAGGTCTCTTGTTCGGCAAGATGCTGAACATCTGGGGCTGAGTCCAGTACTGTGATTCGCACAGCGGAGGCAGCTTTGAAACCCGTTTCTTTAAATAAATTGGACGGTGGTCCCATTTAGCTGCATGCTATTGCTTGGTAACTTGCCTAAAGTGCCAGGTAACTTAATTGCCTAGTCTGGGATCAAACAGTAGGAAGTAGATGCGCTTCCGTAATTTCTCCTAGTTGATTTCTTTTTTGTTTCCACTTGTGTGTTTGTGTCAGAATTGAGAAGTGTGGAAACAAGGCCTGGAAATAGTAGGTTAATGGGGAAAGTTAAAGCAAGACAGGAACTTTGGGAAAGTCGTTTGTAATGACACAGTTGTTAGCAAGTATTGAGGGAGGGAAGCAGGGGCCTCATACATTTCAGAAAGTAGGAGATGACTTAGGTGACAAAAGTGGGTAAAGAGATTCTAGTGGGCAGGGAGCTATTTTGTATCCAAATAATTCATTGGTATAAGTGCCTGTCTCAAGTGCTATGTCTCTAGGATGATTATAAACATAAGAGAACACAGGGTTGTTAGCCCAGCGCCTCAGCTTTTCTCACCGTGTAGCTTGCTTTAAATTATGACTCAATCTCTGAGCATGTTCATGCAGCCTCTTGTCTGTCTTTGGAGTGTTGGCTTTTAGGTGTCAGTACCTGGTGACCCCTTCCTTACCTGTGAAATTTGATCTATAGATGACTTCATAGTCGTTGACACTAATCGCAGTTGGAGAGAGGAGGGAGCTTTAAATAACCCAACTATCTCCTTTTCCCCCTTTCTAATAATTGGTTTGTTTTTACCTAGCTATAGGACTTTAGAGCTCATTTTTCTTAATGGCTATAAAATATATTATAAATCATAAATGTAAAGAACATTTTGATTGCTAATTTATGATTTGCTCATTTCCTGCTACTGCCTTCTATTTTCTGAAAGTTTTTTTTTGTTCATGGATAGGGAGATACAGGTACTAAGAATACTCATGCTTTGAATACTTTTGTAGTATAAAATTTTCCAGGATGACTTTTCCTTTTAAATTCATCATTTAACTGTAGATTTTGAAGAGAAAGATTACATTGGAGCTGTATTTTTATCTAGCAGTGTACTTCTACTTGTCACAAGGGGATTTCCACTTGTGTAAATGGTCTTCAGTTGGAGCGAAAGATGCTCTCTGGGAATGGAGCGTGTTGAGAACGGCTAGAAAATGCTCAAGTACTCTTGAAATAGACTTCAAAAGAAGACTATTTCTATTTTAGATTTCAGCTGTAATCATTAGAAACTCTTGGACCTGCTGTATTATTCAGAGTGTGATAGATTTTTAGTACTGAAAGAAGCTCTCTTCAGGTGGCTTCAGTTTCTAAGCTTGGAGGCTTGACACAAGTCCCTCTATGTCTTGGTCTTAACTTGTGCTGTCTCAACAGTCCCATCAGAATTTGCCTATGAAGGAGGCTCAGAGCCTTAAACTAGCAGTGGGACCCCCTGGGTGCCTGAGTCTGACACCAGCTCTGCTGAACAATAGGTCCATTGAGCTTTTCTTGCTTCCGCGACTCAACTGTGTTGGCCACAGTGCTGTACTGTGCTCTGGGAGCAATATGAGGACTAAATCAAAGAGCTAATATTTGTAAGTGCATGCAGCGGTGTCTGGGAGGAGTATGGAGAGTGATCAGAATCGGCCGTGGGAGGTTGTGAAGGGGCCACTTCAGCCGTTGAGCATTGCTCTACTTGCTTTGTTTCCTGAGTTGCTTCAGTTGCTTTTAGCTGCATTTGTTGTCCTCTTCTGGAGCCACTGTTACCTGTCTTTATTTGTAAACTTCCACAAGCCAATTCCCACCATAGCTGCAGTGCTGAATTCTTCCTCCTGCCTTTTCTTGTGCACCTGATAAGTCTCCCTTTTCTCTGCATACCATATGGCCAAGCTGTATGTGCTTGCTGGGAAACCTGCATAGTTCTCTTACGTAGTGCAATATAGTGATGACTGTTTCTAAAAGAGCACGCTGTACGCTTTACAAACACCTGCTCAGTCTTTACAAGGGACATGTAGGGGACAAACATTGTCCTCTTAAGAAATTGACATTTAGAAAGAGTAATTTCTCCCAGGTGACATATCCAGTTCAGGGTACAGCCTTGATTTAAATTATGACTCAGTCTCTGAGCATGTCTGTGCAGCCTTGTGTCTTTCCGTGGAGAGTGCCGGTTTAGGTGTCAGTCCCTGGAGACACCGTCCTTACCTGTGAAGCATGATATGTATAAATGACTTTAAAGTCCCAGACACTAATCTCTCATTGGAGAAAGGAGAGCGCTTAAGATAGCTACAATATTGATTCTGATTACAGGCTTCTGAATTTTCAATTAAAAAAAAAAAACAGGGCTGGAGAGATGGCTCAGTGGTTAAGAGCATTGGCTAATCTTCCAGAGGACCCGGGTTTAATTCCCAGCACTTACCTGGCAGCTCACAGCTGTCTGTAACTCCTGTTCCAGGGTATCTAACACCCTCACACCAATGCACGTAAAAGAAAATTAAATAAATTAAAACAGCAACAACAACAAAAATCAAGTGATGTTTATTTTCTTTTAAGGTAGGATCTTCCTTTCTCAGCATGGAAAACTGCTGCATCTTGTCTGTATGTGACTCACAGTGAGCAGCACTGGAGCTTCTTCTCTCGTTTGGCCTGTTGGCTGGACACTTGTCCTGAGTCTGGATGGCGGGTGCAGATCATCTGATGTGCTGTTTCTGATCAGCAGACATTAGATTAAAGCTGCTAACGGGATGAACAGAGAGGATTGCTTGTTCTGCTACTCGTGATTCTAGTAGTGGCGTTCCCTTAATGTCTAGTGTCTGGCTCACTATAGATGTGGTAGTGACCTTCAGTTTGAATGCTGAGCTATTTTAATTTTGGTGGACATTCTATATTCTTCATTTCCATCTTCATGCCTATGCAACTTAAAATCAAATGCAGATACTGGAGTTAACTAGAATGCTTAGACGTTCACGTTCCCTTCACTAGTACAGAGTCATGAAAGTCACCCCTCCACTCACTCTGTTTCTAACTGTAGTACCGGAAGAAAACATCGCAACTATGAAGTACGGAGCCCAGGTTGTGAAAGGAGAGCTGAAGTCAGCCTTGTTGGATGGTGACACTCAAAATTACGACTTGGATCATGGATTTTCCAGGCATCCCATCGATGATGACTGCCGCTCTGGCATTGAGATCAATCTTGGCCAGCCGTCCATTATCAACCACATACGCCTCCTCCTGTGGGACCGTGACAGCCGGTGAGGCCTTCTGTCCCTGAGACACTGATGTTGCATTTGTTGAAGAGGACCTAACTTTTTGGTCATCTGCTTTGGTTCCTCTCCCTTACTGCTTTTTTATTTACTGGCAAAGGGGGCAGTTATTGAGAAAGACAGTGTCTCTGTCTTAGGGTAACTATTGCTATGATGAAACACCACAGCCAAAGCAACTTGGGGAGGAAAGGGTTTATTTGGCTTACATTTCCACATCACAGTTTACAAAGGAGGTCAGGACAGGAACTGAAGCAGGGCAGGAACCTGGAGGCAGGAGCTGATGCAGAGGCCATGGAAGGGCTGCTTCCTGCCTTGCTCCTTATGGTTTGTTCAGCTTGCTTTCTTATGGAACCAAGGACCACCAGCCCAGGGATGGCACACACCCCTCGCTGTGGGATGGGCTCTCCCCCATCAATTATTAATTAAGAATATGCCATACAGCTGCATTTTTTCTTTCAAATGAGGTTCCCTCTTTTCAGTTAACTTCAGCTTGTGTCAAGTTGACATAATGTCCAGCACAGCTCTCTAGTAGGGAAGTGGACCAGAGGTACTGGGAAAGACTGACTCAGTGACAGTCTGCTTTGGTTTTACAGGTTTAAATGACCTATTTGTGATCATTCTGCTATTTCTCTTGGTTAGTTGTAGAGGAAGAATTAAAAGTTAGATTTCTTTTAAATGTCCTTTTTAAAATGTAAAGTTTTTGGTATTTTATTTTGTGTATTATGAGTGTTTTGCTTGCATGTATGTATGTGCATCATGAGTATCTGGCCTCCCGGAGGCCATAATAAGGTGATAAGGTGCTGGATACCCTGGGGCTGGAGTTTCAGACTGTTGTGAGTCACCATGTATGTGCTGGGAATCAAACCTGGGTCCTCTGAAGAGCAGCCTGTGCTGTTAACCACTGAGCCATCTCTCCAGCCCCCTTTTGTCCTCCTTATATACAAGCACCGAATAAGTGTTTATTTTGGGATATACAGAAAAGCACAAAGAAGAAAGTAGAAACTGCTGTAATCTCACCACTACCCGTCACTAAAATTCGTATGCATCTGTGTTTGTTTTCTCCCTGTCTGTTTCATACACATATGCACACTACAGAGTCTTCACATAGCTTCACAAAGTATAGACTAGCTATATGGAAAACTTACCTCTACTTTTTATTTTTCTTCCGTAAGAGTCAGAGTCTTAATAATTTGCCTAGCCTGATCTCAAACTTGGATTTTTTTTTGCCGCAGTTTCCCAAATTCTTGTATTACAGATGTGTGTGCCCCACTGTGCCTTTGAAATGTAGTAACTGAAACATGAAATTAAAGCCAAGTGTGTTTTAGTTACTACATTTAAAACATTCTATTAGTTTTTAAATATTATCTGGCATCCTTCCATATAAGTAAACATTATTTATTTGATTCCTTAATATTGGATATTATGAAAACTTTAAAATACATATCATTAAATGACTGAAGAAATTGTCTTTTAGTGCATAGCTAAGCATCCTTGGAATGAAGTCAAATTGAGAAAGAAGTGGCGTGCTCTTCAGGCCACTGCGTGTGCCCGGTTTCTTAGCAGTGCTTTCCTTCCAGCACCTCTGTGGTACTCTGTCTGCTTGTGCCTGTGCATTCCTGGTGTCAGAAGCACCAGGGCAGTGATGAGCAGAACTACGTGGTCTCTAGTAGTACTTTTAACCTAAGGCCTACCGAACCTGCTGTGCTTTTTGGGTCTGGGCCTGTCGGTTCAGTGGGAGTAGTGATAGGGCTCACATGGAAGGAAGAGAGTGCGCCCTGGTAGCACTTTGAATTTTTGACCATTTGAGGGAATCTTTTTAAGGTGATTCAGTCAGCATTTGTATGTGTAGTGTTGTTTTTGAGATCCCTAGGTGATAGCTGTTTTGTTTTTATTAAGAATATACTTCATGGGGCTGGGGAGATGGCTCAGTAGTTCAGATCCATGTACTTCTCTTGTGGAGAGGGCGAGGGTTTGATTCCAGCACTCACATTGGGTGACTCACAACCACATGTAATGTGTGCTGTAAAATAAATCCTTTAACAAAAAGAATGCATTTCCTCACGTGTATCCTGGTGTGGATATTTGGTGCATGACTGACGAAGTGGTTAGAATTAATTCATGTTTCTCATTTCCAAGAATCCCTGGTTAATTATAACAGTGTAATAATATTTATATTGCACTTCCATTACTTGTATATGGTAGGCTTTCTAAAGGCTTTACGTATTTCATTCATCTAATTAATAATGAAATTGGTATAAAAATAATAAAGGAAAAGGCTAGTGTGCTTGAACCTGAAAGCACAGCTCATTGTTCCCATGATGTTAAATATTTATCGGCCACTTTGTTTTAGTATCTATATTCCATTCACAGAGGACTTAGCTTTACCTGTTCTTTTCTCACAGCATTGTTAACATTTGAAGTAAAGGTGAAAAATTCAAAATCTTAAGCCAAAAAGATTCTGATGTGTTGTAAAATTATATCCCACATTGCTGATAACCCAGAGAGGTTCAATAAAAGGTTATAGCCAGTTTGAGGCTGAGCGATAAAATGAATGGGAGTTGAGGGGACAGCAGAAAGCAAGGGGATGACACAAAATAAGCTGACCTTTTCTGGCCACAGCTGTGGGTTGCAGGCTGACATTTATGCTCACCTAAATCTTCCGAGATTGTTCCTGTTGATATTACAGTACAAGTAATAACTGCACCTCAAATTTAAATTTGGCTCATGGCAAGGAAGTACAGATGTTTTCAGTATGGGACCAGCATGTAATGGTCCCGGGCAGCTGCCTAGGGGAAGATGATGGGCTGTTTTCATTACAGCCAGGTTATTAGCTGGCAAGTTTTAAGTTGCATCCCAAAGAAACAAGCATTATCTTTCCCCCATGTTGTTTATTTTCCAGCAGGCTGTTTTTAAGTGTGGTATGGTAGGAGACTGAGAGGTGGCTGGAGATAAGCTGCCTTCTGTGGAGAACTATTCCACCCTTCCACTTAACTTTCCCTGCCAGGAAGGGAGGGCAGAACACCTAGACCAGGGGCCGTGGAAGGAGGAAAGAAAGGGCACTTACCTGCTTCTGTTCATTGTCCCTTCTCTGTCTAACCTCCCCAATTCTGCTCCTGTTTCCTCTGTCTCTCCTTTCCTCCCTCTTGGCTTTATTAATCTGCTAATAGGGCATGACCAAGGCATCTGGGCAATGTGAGGAAAAACAGTCTTCCGTTTCATTTTGTTCTTAAGTAGTTCATCATTTGATTAAGGCAGAAAGACAAACTGAGAGGAAATGTCAGTACATTGAGTAAATGCTAAGAAGAGTGTTTTATACAGCTTTCATTGCTACCTAAATTTGATAAATGTTATTTTGAAACAGATAGAATTAGTTTATTCTATATTTTGGTACATTTTAATATCTTACTTTGGTTTTCTGTTGTCACTGTGCCCTGTTCTTTCCTTTTACTTCCTAGGTCTTATTCCTACTTTATTGAAGTGTCCATGGATGAACTTGACTGGATCAGAGTCATAGATCACTCACATTACCTGTGTCGGTCTTGGCAGAAGTTGTATTTCCCAGCTCGCGTCTGCAGGTAAGTACTCATTGTTAATAAATGATTTCCATCTTTATTTAAGGACATTTCGAGTTTGAGAAGATTGCTCTCAAAAAACCAAAACCAAAAGAAAAAACAAACAGAAAAACAAAACCCTGTATGGGAAGTTTATGGACCTTAGTGAGTGGCTGCACTGGGAGCTGTCCAGCATGTTGTGCTGTGTTTTTCTGTGCGAGTGTGGGGATGGAGTTGCTCTTTGCACTCAATGTTGTCTACATAGAGAAAGCAGTTGTGGTTAGATGGTGGTGTTTCCTTCACATCCAGGGAAGATCTTCCTCAAGGCTCCCTGATGGTGCCCAGAGCAGGAGGAGAGTTGTGGATGCTTTGTCTGCATCAGGATGGCAGGTGGGGTGTGCCAGAGCAGATGTTTTGTTGTTGTTGTTGTTGTCGTCTGTTTTTGAGACAGGGTTTCTCTGTGTAGCTTTGCCTGTCCTGGAACTAACTCTGTAGTTCTTGAATTCACAGAGATCCGCCTGCTACTGCCCCTCAAGTGCTGGGATTAAAGGTGTGCGCCACCACTACCTTGCCAGAGCAGGTGTTTTAAGTGCAGTTGGTCAAAGGCGCAAGGCCGGCTTAGCTGATAGGCTTCATGCTCACCTTGTTTTTTCTCAGTACCAGCCGATTCTATCCCAGCCCCCAGGTAGGATTGTTGTATAGAGTGCTGAAAGGTTATTGTTCTAATAGTTCACATTCTTCTTTAGATAAAACTTTCTGTACTTCTGCAAAACATGTAAGTTAATGAAATTGGGAGTTGGTAAAGGTGGTTGAAGTTCCCTGAATATTACATAGATTTGTCCTTCCCACTGGACAGTGCCCTCCGATGATAATCTTTAAGGCAAGAGGTTAAAGGCAGAAAATATTAGGCTTATATATAGGTGTGGGAGAAGAGTAGGGAAGAGAAATGGTTGAAAAAAACAGGGACAATGTGGAGCTGGCCTCTCACCATCACCTCACCTGCCTCCCCATGTCAGATGCCATCCATTCTGACTTGTTGTCATGACTGACATGAAGCAGGTGAGAATGTCCCTGGCTTAGTCTCCTGGCCAGGAGTCACCTCTGTGAACTCATGGTTAACTCAGCACAAGAGTTCATGAAACTTTTCCACCACTAGTACATTTTTATTGGTATTACTGGACACAGTATTGTTACCCAGGGATCCTCTTGTGTATAAATGAACAAAATCCATTTCATTTCCCCAGAGAGGGACTAAAATATTTTTTACTTAAAGGAGTTTAGGATGGATTAAAATAAGAGGGACCAGAAATTGAGTTAAGATTCCATATCCCAGAGCTGCCACCAGATATTTGGAGAGAGTGACCCGTGAGGAGGAGGAGGTAGAGGAGAAAGAGGAGATGCAGTCTGCAGTAACTCAGGTTGTAATGGTTGAAGCAGGCTAAAAAATAAACAGAGTGTCAGCCTAAGCTAAGTGGGAGGATAGCGCACTGCTATGTAATCTGAAACAATGCGAACATGGCTCGGATGACAAGTTACCGTGCTTCCAGCCGGGACAGTCGCCGTGCTCCAGCTGCCTTCAGTCAGGCTCTCTAGCGTCTACAAAGTATACTTTCCCTTGAACACTTCCATTTTTCCTCCTCCCCTCTTTCTTTCCCTCCTTTATGAACTTAACTTTGCCAGGGTCATTTTTTGTTTTATTTATGCTGCCAGCGTTTGTTTTAGTGCATGTCACAGTAATTACATTCAGTTGCTATGGAAAAACACATGCACAAATCAACTTAGAGAAGAGTGTATTGAGGCTTACAGTTTCAGAGGCTGAGTCCATGGCCGTTGTGGTGAGAGCTTGCAGCAGGCAGTCAGGCAGGTTCCAGAGCAGTAACTGTGGGTTTTCACCTTTTCCCAGAGCACGCATCCACCGCCCCCCCATCTACCCATACTCACCCCTGCACCTCCTGCATGGATGGCATGGGCTTTTGAAAGCCCAAAGCCCAGCCCCAGTTAAAAGCTTCTTCCAACAAGGTCACACCTCCTAATTTTTCCCAAACAGTTCTATCAGCTGAGGATCAAACGTTCGAATATATGTACCTATGTGGCCATTCCTATTCATACCACCACAGTTCATCAGTGCCAAACTACAAATCTGAGCAAAGGTGCTGGTAGAGACAATGATAGCAAGAAAAGCGAGGAATCTCAGGGCCCATATTAGTAAGAAATAACCATTTTAACTCATCTATTACGTTTCTTTATAAATTCTGTTTCTTGGATTAGGTTTTTGTTCTAACAGTATTTTAAAATGAATCTAAGAATTAGGTTTTACTAACATCCAAGGATGCATTGGTTTTCCTTCCTAATCACTTATTGACTGCTTAAACAATGCTCTAAATGAACTGCTTGCAGGAACTTCCCTCTGCAAAGAAATACTTCCTTACTATGTAAGGATTTGGTTTTTATTGTTAGCTAATTTGTGTATTTGTATATCACCTTTGTTCTTTAGTATCTTTTGTGTTTGTTTTATTTTTGCCTCCAAGAGTGAAATTGCAAGCTCTTATAGGCACGGAATTTGGATTCCAAATCATTGTACTTTAGAGCAGACCTTAGACTGTGGTATTGTATGCAGCAGTTTCTCTGTGCGTAGCGTGGTTTCGTGATGTCAGGTGCTGACTGTGCCGACGGTGAATCAGCACCGCTGTGCCCGCTCCTTATGTCATCTTGGTCGTGCGTTCCTTCGTTAGGACGGAGGAGTGCCGGCAGACTCCTCAGGGGGCACATAGCTCTGCGTTTCCAGAGCTTGTTTTCTTTAGGAAACTGAATTTGGAGGTTCAAATAGAAGGTTTTGAATGCTTTATATGGATGGCAGCTTTGATCTGTTCCAGTGACAGTGGTGATGCTTTATAAACTGATGAGAGGGAAATTACTTGCACCTCTTTCTGAGACCAGGCCAGAGGAAACACGCATTGTGGCCTGGAACTGAGCTGCGCTGTAGATGGGGCTCACCCCAATCCTAGCTTTACCTCACACATTCGTTTTGTGGTAAATCTGTGCCTTCCTCAGCCTGGCACCCACACACATCAAGAACGGGAACAGCACTCTTTATGGCCTTCGCTTTGATAGCTGGTTGACAAGCGCAGAGTGTGATGTCTGGTAGACATTGTGATGTCAAGTAGACATTCATACATAGCAGAGTTTTATTTTTGTCCACTTGAGAATCTGAACTGTTGATCATCAGAGAAGGTCCTATCCTTGGCATGGTGGCTTTTATTAAGACAACTGTGCCTTTTCTTAGTAGCCAAGTCGTCTGGGTACTTCCTGTACTGTCAGGTCACACATGACAGTCCCAGGCCTGCCACAAACAGGTATATCAATAACTAATCATTTGCCCATTTTTGAATGTTTATAGCAGTTTTGTATATTTTGATTCTTATATATGTATACGTGTGTGTATGTATGTGTATAGATACAGTCATTAAGTCTGCCATTGCAATACCTGTGCAGTGTGATGGAGGCAGTGCTCATCCTGCACAGCAGTACATTGTGTCTGCTGCAGGAAGATAGTGCCAGGCTTCAGACCACAGTGATCATTTCAACCATGATGATGAATGGAGGGAAGTGATTGACTCATACTGGACCCCTGTTTGTGTGTGAAGTGGGGCTTGTTCTGTGTGACCAGAAGATTAGACTAATACTGTCTGCCCCCATCTTTAATCCTTAGGTGGAGAGGAAGAAAAGGGACTTGCAGCTTATGTGCAATCTTCATATTTAGAGCAAACCGTACTTGTCACTTGTAAGACCTTTGCATTGATAGAGACATGCATGCATGTGTGTGCGTGCCTCTGTGTGTGCGATATGTGATTTTCTTTTGTGTGCTATGTGACTTGATACTAGGTTTTAGTGTTAAATTGATGCTCTTTTGTCAAATAGAATTTTATGTTTTTAAAAGAGATGCTCAAATCAGTGTTTTTAAATTATTTCTAGTTTTATATATTATTCAGAAAGGTGTTCCTCAATCCAGTGCTAAAGAATGCTACATATTTTTCTATTATTTTAAAAATTCCTTATAGTCAGATATTCCATTCAGGCAGACAGAGGAGGGGATGGTTTAGGTCGGGGAGTTAACTTAGGGTTGTTCACTTAACAATGATTGCTTACACCCTGATGAGACTGGCCTTGTTTCTCATGCGCTGAATTGTAGCATATACTTGACTCTTTTACAGTGATTGCCTTTGATTCCTGTTGACTGTTTGAATTACTGTGGTTTTCCTTCCTCTTTTCTTAGAGTGAGAAATTACAATGTGCCAAGTATGTCACAGACAAGGGAAAGGGTGTCACAGAACATCTGCCAGTCTGTCTTTCTAGTCTCAGGGGTTCCATTAGAGGCCTTCAGTGATGATAAACATCGCACTAGAGGGGCTCTGTTTCCATGCAGAACAGGAATTTAGCTGTGCCTTACCAGCTCAGGAAAAAATTCTCTTCATGTGTTCAGTCAGCACTTATTCAGTCAGCAAATGAGCACCTACTTTGTGCTATATTTTGTACTTAATCCTGAGATTGTAGCTCTGATGGATGTCAGGGGTTCCACATTTGTCAGTTGGGGGAGGCATATGCACAAATTTATAACTACATATTTGTTGTAGTGAGGAGCGGAGGGGCTGCGTCCCCGGCACCCGGCCGCCGGCATGGCTAGCTTATGCCCCGAAATAATTACACGGAAACTGTATTCTTTTAAACGCTGCCTGGCCCATTAGCTTTAGCCTCTTACTGGCTAGCTCTCACATCTTGATCTAACCCATTTTTAATAATCTGTGTAGCCCATGAGGTGGCTTACCAGGGAAGATCTTAATCTGCGTCTGTCTGGAGTGGGAGAATCATGGTGACTGTCTGACTTGGCTTCTTTCTCCCAGCATTCTGTTCTCTCTACTCCGCCTACCTAATTTTCTGTCCTATCAGGGCCAAGCAGTTTTCTTTGTTGCTTTTATTGGTTAATTAATAGATGAATACAAGACCCACCTCCATCACATATTGTCAAG